ATTGGCTCGTTAAACTAAAATTGAGAAAAATAGATGTAAAGTGTGAGATTCGAACCTGGATCAAATCTATATAAAAGAAGACACTAACCACATTGTCACATGAGGTGTTATGATTTAAACTTAGACATAAATATATATAATATATTATTATATAAATAATATATGTAATATATTGTTATATAAAAACTTATATAGTTTTTTTTCGAGCCATTTCGAGCCGAACACGAGCAAACAAACTGTTGTTCGTGTTCGACTTGTTTATATTTCGAGCTTAAAAATTTGTTCGTGTTCGGCTCGTTCGTTAAGCCTAAAGCTTAACGAGCCGAACACGAGCTGTTCACGAACAACGAGCCAAATTGACAGCCCTATACGTAACACAAGAATCCAACTCTTTTGTGTCGTGTTTGTGTGAATTTTTTGGATATATCTAAAATGTCATCTTGATATAATTACTTGATATTGAAGTGGTAATTTTATGTACTTCATTTACACTCAATTTGGCCTATTAACATGTTTAATACTATTATGATATTTGAGTTTCAAAAGAAAATTTAGTGAAACAACCAAGTCAATGTATACTTATTTGGTAGAATATAATGCTACTAGAAAAGTTAAGATAAGGTATTCAAAATTATTAAAAGACTATAAAAAAATAGCTTCCTAAAAAAAAGGTGAGAAAGATCAAGATATTCAAAAAGAATAAGTTATATAAACGAGCTAAGAAAGGAAAAACTTAATGATAAGTCTATAATATTAGAAAAGGGTACCTATTATCTTCTTTAACTTAAACAATTCAAAATCTCATTGAAATTTAATGTATAAAATTTAGAAGGAGAAAGTTTAAGTTAACTAATATGATTGATTAAGTCAAAAATTTGTACTTACTTATTGATTAAATGAATTTTAGTCAATATTGCATCTTAAACACTTACTAGTCTTGGATTGAAAGAATATTAACTTTTTATAAAAATTGAGGTAATATTAGTCAATAGGAATTCATGTATTTAGGAAGTTTATATGAGCTTTAATTATAGACTCACAATATTAGTCATGTGATGGTAATTCTTAAATTAATTGTTAGTTATTTCCTCCAGGATATAACTTAAATAAAAAGATTACTTGAGGACAAGCAATATTTGAATGCAGAAGAATTTGTTAAGTATAAAAAATATTATGTCTTAATCTTGAATTTAGTGAGAATACCAAATTCTTGTTGTTTGTTTGATCAATTCCATTATGTGTGTGGTTGTGGTGTAATAGATTTTTGGCTTTCTTTTTCAACATAACTCCCTCTACTTTAAGACCATGGAAGAGATGTCTAAGCTAAGGGAACTGATACTTCGGCTTGCCACGAAGTTTCATGGATTCATGTTGACTTCAAGGATGTTGAACAAATTAGTTAACTATATATATATATATATATATATATATATA